CGGCGAGTCGGATGAAGTTAGACTCGATGTTAGTATCGAAGAAGAACTCGTCGAGTCTTTGCCAAACTCGACGAGTAGAAGCGAGTAGAGGACTAGAATGGATGAAAGGGACTCGGCGAGTTGGTGGCCCAACTCGGCGAGTCCGGTCAACTGGAAGTTGACTTTGACCAGGAAGTTGACTTGACCAGGGGTAAATAGTCATTTTACCCTGAGATTAGTTATCAGTATTTGATTTAGTGTTTATGGGATTTGTAGCCGGGGAGTTCCGGAGCAGCAGTCAGACAGTCTCAGATTTAGCACCTCAGCAGCCAGCGTTACGAGGTAAGTTTCCTTCCAGTAGGAACGGGTCTACGGCCACAATGCCGACCCGTTTAGTTAGCAGTTGTTCCGGACTACAGTCCGATGCAGTAGTTCAGTATGCTTGGTGTCTTTGTGATACAGGCATGGTATGTGTTATGTGTTCCGGACTATGGTCTGACGCAGTATGCAGTATATGTGTTCATATTATATGCTATGATTATGTTATGCTATGTTCAGTCAGTTCCGGACTTCGGTCCGATGCAGTGGGCAAGGCCCTAGTTAGTTCCGGACTTCGGTCTGATGCAGTGGGCAAGGCCCTAGTAGTTCCGGATTTCGGTCCGATGCAGTGGGCAAGGCCCTAGTCAGTTCCAGACTTCGGTCCGATGCAGTGGGCAAGGCCCTAGTCAGTTCCGGACTTCGGTCCGATGCAGTGGGCGAGGCTCAGTATATGCTTTATATGTTATTGTATGGTATGTGGTAGTTTGGGGGAGCTCACTAAGCTTCGTGCTTACAGTTGCAGTTTTGGTTTCAGGTACTTCAGCTAGCAAAGGGAAGAGGTCGGGATGATGGCATGACACACACCACAGTTTTAGCCTGGGAGTTAGACTCTGATATTTTGATATGATCTTGACACTAGTTTCGATTTGATAAATTTATTATGACATTTTGAGATACACGATTCATGGTTTTATCTTTTAATAATTGATATTATGGTTTAGTAAAGTTTTCAAACAAAAATTTTTGGGTTGTATTTTTGGGATGTTACATTTTTCCTTTATCTGGGATTCCACATTCCTAACTGCCCAGATGGCTGCTTTCAAAGTAGTGCGAGCTTCACTATTGGCCCATAATTTGTTGTTAGTCTGATAGTAAACTTGTTTACTTTGGACATTTCGGTAGGAACCAATTTAGGAACTAGGTTCATCTTTTCAGTGAAATCTACGGCATACTCGCTGACACTCATCTTCCCTTTCTTCAGATTCTGAAATTCATTATTGATCTCTAGAAGATCTTGCTCAGAGCAGTACTTCCTCTTTAACTCCTCAAGGAAGTTCTCCTAAGATATCTTCCTTGCTTCTCTCTTTGGCATGGAATCAACCAACAACTTCCATCAGTTCAATACTTCAGTCAATAGTTGTCTGACAACTAAAATGGTCTTCTGTCAGTTGCTGCAGTCACAACTATCAAACACCATATACATCTCGGAGATCCAGTCCATGACTTCCACTGGTGTTGGGCTCCCAAAAGACTTGGCGGTTTAGAAGCCATGAAGTCCTTGTACTTGCAACAATTCCTCTCAACCTCCTAGTCACGTTTGTTCCTTCTAACCCTTTGCGGTTCAGCTTGGTCCACCGTCCGACTGTAGCTTCCCTCTTCGGACTGACCCTCATTCAATATTGGTTCAACCATTGGTGCATTGACTTCTCTCTTAATTCCTTGGAGTAGTTGTCTAGTCTGCTCCATTTGCTCAGATAACATTGCTCGAATCTTGGCTTGGACTCCTACTATCGTGATTGGTTCAGCTACCGACAAGACTTCTTTTCATGCTCGACTACACGAGGCTCAGGCTGTCGGTTTCCATTAGCGTTCCCCAATCCGCTACGAGTTCTCACCATGAAGTTTTGTACACCAAACTAATGTTCAGTGTACCGGAATCGTGAGTATATTATGATAGAGAAGGTTTGGTTATGTTTTAGACGTATGATCCTCCTTACCACTCTGAAAAGTTATATGCCAATTCTAATACAGTAATGAAACGTTTATAAGCCTAATCAAATAAAATTTCCTAATCAAGGTCGGCAACAGACCTTGGATCTAGTCAAGTAATAGCAATTTTAGTCAACCTAAAGCATGTTATAAATCATTTAGCACATAACAACACATTACTCATCTTATCCTAAAGTAAGCTAGTGCTTGTGTCAATTCAGGTATACTTCCTAGAATAAAATAGACACACTCGTCACGATCATCGCTTAGACTTCTAAGTTTAAGTATAGAAAACCTCAAATATTCCTAGTTCACTAAAACTAATGCTCTGATACCAACTATGACATCCCTATTTTCACGGTTAGAAAAGACATTTTATTTATCCTTATTTTAAAACAGGGTATTCTTTATTTTTCGAAATGTGTCCCATCAAAAGTATTTTCCGAATAAATGTTTTTTTATTGATTTCATTAAAACTTGGAATGTCATAACTCGTACAAGAAACACAAGCATAAACGTAGCTATTACTGGCCTTACAACATCTGATGGCCTATATTTCCTCGAATCTCTCCTCAGATCAAAACAACATATACCTTTTGTAACGCTAATAGTGATACAAAGAAATTGAGTACGTTAGGTTGGAAAACCTGGTTAGTACATAGGGTTTTCAACCCACAATATTATAATCTTTAATTGTATATTTTTCAGTAAACAAAGAACCCAGTTACCCATTCCCGTTATCCTTACTTCCTAATTCGTAAATAATGATCTCGAGGGATCGTTCCTAAAAGATATTTATGAACAAAAATTTTTCATCTATTCTTCCTTAAACATCTAGTCATAGCAGTACGATAGTACTTTGGGCACAACATAGCAGTACAATAGTACTTTGGGTAAATACAGCAGTACTGCAGTACGATAGTACTTTGATCATAACATAGCAGGTTACATGTTATTACTATGCACTTGTTTGTTAAAAGTGGATGACTGGTGAATACGGCGACGCTCCGCCTAACATCTTGACTCTTCCTTTGACGTGACCTAAGTATAAATGTCACTGAGTCTTAGTCTTATATTCCTGGCGACTAATGATAGTCGAGATTCCTCACTAATCCCAATGTCTACATCAAGATATATCAAGTAAGGAACAACCACGTAGGATCATATTAGAGGTAGGGACCATTTGGTATATAGATTATACTGTTTGGAAATCCCACTTTAAACACCTTGTTAAATCCAGTTCAAACATCATTCCCGTAAGTGTATCAATCAGTATAATGACTTGGAATCAATGATAAATCCTATATATAGGTTCATAATAACGACTATGAACATATATATATATATATATATATATATATATATATATATATATATATATATATATATATATATATATATATATATAAGTTACACTTGAAATAAAATAAGGGTAGCTTAACTTACAAAGATTTTAGCGAAAACCAGGAAGTTGCGCGAGCAAAATTCCGAAACCGAAAGCTTATTTACCGGACTCTCTGGTGCTCCATAGCCTAATTACTAGCTCCTAAAAATTCCTAAACTTGGGCCTCAAGAGTGGGGAAAATATTGAGAGAAAGAGAAAGTGTGATGAAGGAGTTGTGTAGAAACTTTGAAAAGTCATAACTTCCTCATATGAAGTCAGAGTTGGACGTTCTCTATACGCACGCTCTCAGTTTTAAGATTACTACGATTTTCGTTTAGATTTCTTAGGCTAATAATCAATCTATCTAAAATTGACTTTTTATTACTCGCACAAATATGTCGGTTTAATCGCGAAACTTCGAAGAATCATAACTTCTTTATACGATTTCGGATTTTAGAGTTCTTTATATGTACAGAATCCTTGTCACATATACTGTAACTTTGATTAACATTATTCATCCTAAATAATCTTCTATCAAAAAATCATTTTATCGCTCATTTGTCTAGCCCGAATCTGCGAGCGTTAGATTAACCCCTGAGAATACATGGGTTTTGAAAATACGCTAACATAAAGTTGGTTTGTAACATCCCAAAAATGATAACATAAAATTTTATTTTTAAATTAATAAATAGTTGATACATATCATTTCTATAAAACCATGGTTATCAAGATTTAGTAAAACATCATCGAATCAGAGTAAATCACAGATGCGGAAACATGTGGTGTGTGGCTTGCACCCATCCCGAGCTCTTCTATTGAAAACTGAAGTAGCTGAAACATAAACTGAAAACCTTAAGCACGAAGCTTAATGAGTTCCCCAAGATACCACATACCACACATACTAGGCCCCCGCCCTCCTTTGGGCCTCGCCCGGTCTCGAGTCCCACTTGGCCTCGGGCCCCACCCGACATCGAGCCTCGCTCGGATTACAAATCTGTTCACTACTAGAAAAACAGCCTTTTATGACGCGCAATGCATGTCGCAAAACGCTAAGACGACGCGCAAATGCGTGTCAAGGAAGGCCATGTCATAACGAGAGACGACACGCTTTTGTGCGTCGTCTATTTACGACGCGCAATTACGACACGCATTTACTACGCGCGTTTACGACACACATTGTGTATCAAGGAAGGCCCTGTCATAAAGGAAGATGACACACATTTGCGTGTCGTAACCTTACGACGCGCATTTACGACTCGCATTGCGTATCATTAAAGCCCCTGTCAAGAAAGGCCATGTCGTAAATGAAGATGACATACATTTTTGCGTATCATAATTATAAATGTTTAAAAAAATATTATTTATATATTTACTAATTTTCAAATTAAATTTGTATTTAATGTCTCATAATAGAAAATAAAATATCATATACAAAAAATACAACTCATTGCATAAAATTTAATGTCATACAAATAATCGTTTCATGGAAATATAAAACAAATCAATAGAAGTTGTAACAAAAATTTACAAACTAATTAGATACAAGAAATATAAAAAAATATACCCTCAAATGCTTTTCAAAGTCTAATCTCCATGTCAGCTCTTCAACTCACTTCTCCAGTTTGTCCTTAGCTTCTCTAAGGGCTCCAGCATCTCTTGCAGCCTGTGACAACATATTATAATTTTTTAATTCTATTTATTCTTATAATTCAAAGCATTTAGATAAAATTGTATTATATAATACTTAGATTTTTTTTACAGAAAATCCACTCACCAGCTTCAACATTTTTAATTCTTTCCTTGCTACCTTTGATCTCCATAGACATTGAAGTGTAAGATTTGCTTTATGCTTATTCACCCTTGTTTCTAATCATTTTCTTAAATACTTTACAAACATAATTCATCCATAGTACCTAAACTATAGTTGCAGCCTTGTTTCTTATTCTTCTTTTGAACTCATCTCTTGTAGCCACTGCTCTAAGCCTAGTCTGAACAAATACAACAGTTCCTTAAAAAACATACTTGATTTGCTCAGTAGTTCCACAAGAATAAGAAACAATAATCACAAACCCAATATAGCCCATGCAAATTGTGTTTTAGTGGCTTTCTGAACCTACTAGCACTAGATTTTTCTAAAACAATTATTATGAATTGAAAACAACAAATTTTGACCAATAGTGACTCTTTATTTACAAAACCAAATAAATGAAAGTATAAGATGATTACCTGTTTCTTTAGTAACTTCCAGGCTTCCAGCAAGTTTTTTATGAATGTCAGCCATGTCACTCAAAACACCCAATTCCATATCCTTCAGGTACCTGCATCAGAAACAAACTCCCTAAAATGAAACACATTCTTTTTTGTAGACCGACACTATATTAAAATAAAAACCATATAGATCAAACAAAATAGACCCAAACAACCTTCAAAACAGCTCCAGGGGTAAAAATGTCATAAAATGGCAAGAGACAGTAGGGTGCCATGTATGAACTGAGAAATAAACACATCATTGAGAGCACCAGTAGCAGCTATCCCAACAAAAGCCACCTCCAACTATAACTAAATAGACCAATGTTTCGGTTCAACTTTGTGATAAGATGCCCGATTGAAATAATAGACTAATGGTTTCCTAAAGAAAGGGCTAATCAGAAAGAACATGATATTTATTACTTGTCCTAACAAAACAAATTGGATGCATGCATGTTAATTAGTGACGTCGTGAAACTGACCAAATTAGTTTGATTGTTTGTGCCATTACACACCTGCTGAAACAACGACTTCTGATAAGAGGTGTTCCATATAGGTTGGTATGATCTATAAATTTTTGATCAGGTAGACTCTCTTCTTTGGGAGTTGTTATATATGATCTATAAATTTCTGACATATCTTTTGAACAACAATATGATAGAAAGATTGTGTACCTGATCATCGGAAAAATCATTTTCTGCTAAGAAGGTATGTGCTTCTTGCAAGATTTTAGTAGGTTGTTGATATTTAGCAAATTGTCATTATAATATATAACTCAATAGGTGGATACTGATGGATGTGTTGATCTTGGTGGCCTTTTAAGGGTTACAGCAGGCTATGGAAGAAAGGGTATACTACTTTAAATTCCTATCCATTTAGTTTGTATTATGATACTTGTAAATGTTATATACCCTGTAATAGGGATAACAAACTCCTTGAGTGCTTTTTCACTTGTTACTTCAATTAATTCTCCAATACCTTGAGCAGTCTGTTCTCTCAATTCTGCAGACCCGCTTATTAGGCCCTGAAGGTATATGGGAAGCAATAGTTGAAGAGCCCTTGGGAGACATAACCCAAGTATAGCAATTGGTCCACCCTATATGTCCATCAACAAATATTTATTTGTCTAAGTTAATTAACAAAGAAAAATCATGAAATAATTATTATTGAATATAAAGTGAATATATATATATATATATATATATATATATATATATATATATATATATATATATATATATATATATATATTTAACCTTCTTCTTTCTACGTTCCTTGTCTCTAGATGTGGATACAACATCACGAACTAATTTTATATATGATGGGAGAACTTCTTTCGGGACTAAACCAACAACTCTAGACAGTGCTTCCCAGGCAGCCTGTAATGTATTATATATAATATAAATGATGAAGTTTTATATAAAAAAATGGTAACAAACAGTAAGATAAATAAAAGCCAACTTAGCATGGAAATAGAAGCAACTTGAGAAATTCTGATATCAAATACGCAGTCCCTTCATCATCAATTACCAACACCACAGTTTCTGTAGCCTTCTTTGCAAGATTTTGGACCTCCTATATTACAAATAAAAGCCAACTTAGCATGGAAATAGAAGCAACTTTATCAAGATCACTATGGGAATGTGAATGTCACAACTTCATACCGCATGATCATCATCTCCCATTGCAGAGAGCAAAGCTTTAAGAACTGTTGAAAGATGGACATTTAAACCAGCACCTGCAACCTCCGCAACAGCTCCTATAGCATGTGCATTGAAAGCACTGGAATGGAAACCATGTTTTCATCAACAGTTAGCATATCATTAAAAATGGTACATACGAGATAGATTTCACTTTTAAAAGTATGTATCTGTGTCTACAGATACATAATTAACATCAGAAGTAGAGTATAGAGCAAATGATAAAAGGTATTTTAAAAGTATGTATAAGTACCTTGTACAGAGTACTAAACGCAAGCCATGCAGATTCACGAACCTCAACCTCACTGTAAGAGAGATAGATTTCACTTTCACATATCAAGTACTAACCGAAACAAACAAACAGAAGGAGAAAAAGGTAAAAAATAAATGTACCTATCACATAGAGCTGTATGAATGGTGGGAATAAGATCATCCATGAAACTTAACAAATGGGTCCTACCAGCACTAGCCATCACTTCACTCAGTCCAATACAGACACCCTGTAAATCAAGGAAACTGATAAGGGTATGTGTCCACCAGTATGTGTCCAGCTCCAAGTGCAGCCTCACGTACAAATTCGTTTTCATCCGCAAGACCTGATGACAAATGTGTGTTAGATTATATTAATTATATGCTCAAATATAGAAAAGTGAAAAATCTAATGTGTGCCTAATGTTGATCCTACATATTTCATGAAAATTCACCAAAAATAAATTAACCCTGAAATTTACATATAAATAGTAATGTTCATAGTTCATACCGACAATGTTTTTGCCCCCATAGTAAACATTTGTTGCATCAACAACCGGATACACACCTTCTCCAAATACATTTTTGCATAGATCCAAATGATACATGTTAATTAAAATAATAAAATCATGAAACTTGGATTTTATATTAATGATTAAAATGTGTCATATGTTGATATGTACATGCCTTATGTCAATCTTTGAAGAACAGATGCTATCATTTGAAGGTGCCACCTGGAAATATGCAACTTCACTACAAACTTGGAACCACCATAACCGGTCAGCACATTCATGCACATTTGGCTTTGTCTTTTTCAGATTTTCTTGGTTATACGATTCAACATCTGCTCCATAACTTCCTATATAATATTCCTTCACGTATTTTGCATACGCTTTCTGCACAAGATTTTCAAACAGATTTGTAAGTCAATTACAACTAGATCCTCTCCAGCCTTCTTAGCTTCAGTCATTGGGGTGCAAAGTTTATCTGGATTCCCATATTGAAACTATAAAGATTCAAATATCATGTCACATTAATATACATCAGCGAAGAGATTAAATATATGTGTAAAAAAAAATACTTACAGCTATGGATGCAACCTCTGCTAGAAAATACAAAAAGTCGCCATCTATTTTCAGCTGAAAAAGGATATTTTAGTAGTCAAACATGACAGTTCATAAAGTCAAACACTGTCCCCATATCTATTACATGAGTAGCACCAAATTTGGTCTTCAATGCTTTACTATTTGATGCAAGCTTTTCTTCAACAAGTTGAGTAACTTCTTGTAATACGGCTTTACATTCAGGTCCTGCTGAGTCACCAACCTGCCATTATGTATGTAATCACAAAAATGGTGAAATGAGTCTTAAAATAAAGAAATATGTTTAAAAATTTTCATCACATGTTGATCAAATTCAGTGAAATTGTAAACATCATTAACTACAGCAGAACTTGCAAGACTCCCACATGTGAGATGAGGGAACTTCAAACGAAACCATGCACTAAGAGCTCCAACATAAGAAACGCCAAACAAAAACCATGGATTTTCAATTTTTGTTCTGTTGAGTTTTGAGTTTAATGATTCCTACAAGATCATGGAGGCTAAAATGTTATGAAACTAAACCCAATATTTGAATTACTCAAAATAAATTCATCTATAAACCTGATAAAATTGACGGAAAGCAGCTAAGTCAAATAATGTCTGCTTAGATGAAAGAAATTTGAGATTTTTAGTAGTTAGAGATTTGAATGGAGAACTCTTCCGTAGTATCGATGCTCAAGTCCGGCATGGTGTCTTTTTTCTTTGGAGCCATCGTCGTTGCCCCATAACTTCGGAGATGGCGTGCCTAATGTTGCCTTGACAGACGTCAACGACCGGGAATGGCAAGCAACGATGGTCGAAGTGCGAGGGAAGAAGTAGGCGGCAGTCAATGTCGGGAGGGGGAAGGAAGAGCGGCGATAATTAGGGCAAGAGGGAAAGGAGAAAAAAAGGAAGGCGGAGTTTTTAATTTTTTAGGATTTCATTTCCCCCTGACTATTAGAGGATGGAACGCGCGTTCCATTAAAATTTATAAAGCGACATCCTTAGACGACACACATTTTATTATAGGTGCCCTCCGTGTTTTTTTTTGTTTAGATACTAATTTAAGGGCACGCAATAATGCGTGACCTAAATCCTTAAATTTTTTGAAGAGATGACACTTTTTTAATGTCACTTTCTTTTGCGTAACATAAATCAATGAGTGTCATGGTTTGCGCGTCGTAAAAGGGTCTTTTTCTTGTAGTGGTTATTCTCAGGCCTCGCCTGTAACTGGGCCTTGCCCACTAAACACATACAAAATATCACATAATCATGCTAACACATAAAATGATCATAAACAATAGTATATGTTCTAGTCATCGGGCCTCGCCCGACATTGAGCCCCGCCTGATACATACATTACCGTATAACCATATAATCATATAGACACATAACCATCCTAGCACATGCAATAATGACAAAGACTATAGCATACCATACGGTCATCGGGCCTCACCTGAAAATCATAAAACACATACAAATAATTAACATATGATATTCTCCTCAGGCCTCGCCCAGTAAGCATATCATCATATAACGCGCGCAAGAGTCGAACAAACATATAACATCCTAGCATAAAACCATGGGCCGACATTTGTGCCTTCGACCCGCTAAACCTAATGAGGAGACTCACCTCGCACTGTCGGAACACACACACGATCCCTGGATGCTGTATGACAGATTCCACGAACTGTCTATAACAAAACAACACCCAATCGATATCCAATACTCCATATTTGGGGTAAAATGACCACTTTACCCCTAGCCTAATTTGATCAAAATCCACAATATAAAAGGCCTCACACTAACTAATCTTCCAAGGCCCACTAGTGGCCCACTGATGGCCCAATTTTCCAAAGCGGCCCCAAACCCCTATAATGGGCCTTACCCTAAAGCCCAATAATTTCCTTAGTCCAAAAGCCTACTTTCAGATGACCCAATAAGGCCCAACGCAACTAGGTCCATGAAATGGCCCAAACCGAGGCCCAAAGATGCGAAACACATTCTGACCAAGTATGCAGGGCGTACTCAGCTGTACGCTGCGCGTACACGCTTGATGGCTTGTACGCTACGCGTACAGACTTGTACGCCCAGCGTACTCCTCTATTAAGTCAACTTTTTCCATTAAGCACTTAATGCTCAAGATCAGGAGTCCAAACCATAGATGTACTTCTTAAAGGATGTCTACACCCATAAAGTCATTGACTTGATGACTTTACATGCCTCAAAAGAACCCAACATTAACTTAAAGCATTAATCTTTCACCAAATGGACACCAACTCATACATGGGGGATTCCAAACCCTAAAGAAGGCAACTTTATGCATCAAGAACCCCAGAAACACCAAGAGTGGCAACTCATAGCTCTTGGAGTGGTACCAAACCACTAGATCTCATTCTTGGGACCAAAATGAACGAAAAACTCATACATGCTACATCTAAGACATCCATGATCAAGTTTATAGCTTTTTAACTCAAACAAGCTGGAAATGAAGCCCATAATCCAGATCCATAAGCTCTTCCTTGATCCCCATCCTTGCACCAAACTCCATCTTCTTGGAAATGAACCAAACACACCAAATATGGACACATGAGCTCAAAGTACCATCATGAAGGTTAAAGATCAATTTCTAGGGTTTTGAGGACTTGGACTGTGACAACCCGAAATTTCTAACTTGTACATTCTTCATTTTTATCAAAGTTAACCTCATTTTGCTATTTTGTAATGAAGTTTTGGGTCTATATGAGTGCATTAGACTTAGTATAACCTAGATATGAGTCTTGGGAAAGGGTTAGAATGTGGGTAGCATCACAAAATCAGGCCAAACACACCAAGAAAGGTGTGTGCGGCCGCACACCCGAGTGTGCGGCCAGCCAGCCGCACACAGCCAACCGCACACCCATCTTCCAGCCGCACACTCACCCTTATATATATATATATATATATATATATATATATATATATATATATATATATATATATATATATATATATATAGGGTGACCCCCTTTCACTCATTCCTTTCATTTGGCTGCACTCTACTTTCTCTCACTACTTTCTCTCTCTAAAAACTTCATCCAAGAACACTCTAAAGGCCTCAAAAACATGAATTACTCCATCATTCAGCTTGTTGTGCTGGTAAGACATCTTGATCTAAGCCTAAAACTCTTCATGTTCTTCGTGTTCTTCATCACTTGAAGGTGTACGGCCGCACACCTTCATAAGGTGGCCGTACACACCTTAAAGACTCTCCAAGGTGAGAGTTTGGCCTTCATTTGCTAGTTGGACTTGGTTTTGGCCTTGAAACACCCGAAAATCGACATATTGGGCATGAATGAAGAGTGTACGGCCGCACACCCCTATGTACGGCCGCACACTCCCTTGTACGACCGCACACGCCCTCTGTACGGCCGCACACTCCTGTGTGCAACCGCACACACATGCTGACCGCACACCCTGGCCGCACACACACTCTTTTAGCCGTACACCTCCCTCGTTTGATCATATAGGGTCCCGACATGCATTTCCAAGTCTTTAGGATGGTTTCCCGTCATGTGGGGTCATGAAACACCCAAATTCTAACACACATATGCGTTATCACATGTTAATAGGATCCACTTGCGTACGAAACACCGGTTGACACTCAGCATTCGTAACCGATCATACACCCAGATCCTACGTCAAACAGTGAGTTCATACCCCTTAATCGACCTTTTAAATGATTTTAAATGCTTTTATAGGGGGGAATACAAGTCGAATTATTAAGTTATTACATCAATCACATGTGATTAATAACTGTCAAGTTAATAGATTTCATACTTTTTAAACTATATTATCAAACAAATGTTTTCTAAACTCTTTTCAAACTCTTTTAAGTTATTAAACCTTTTACTAAAACTCATTTAAACTTATATTATTGTCAAATTCATGTCTATACAGATATATTTATATAAGTAAGATTTGAAGGACTTAGGACTGATAGCTCACTTTATTTCTTGTTCCTTGTTTGGTTGTGGACGTAGAGTATCATGTTATTTGTCCGAATGTCGTTGAAACCTTAGTTATATATCATGTATATGTGCTTAGATATAAAGTTTTTTACTTCAGTTCAACACCTTTGGGTGCAAAGGCAATACAAACAACATCACTAGTAAGCTATAACAGGTATAGTTTAAGAGATTACTACTCACTATTACAATTACAACGAAGCTTACAAGAGTCAGTACATTTACGAGTCGACAAACATACTATAACGAAATACAATACACACTAGTCACTATATAAGAGAACATACTATACACTAGTACAGAGAGAACATTACTACGATATGATATACTTTACAAACATACAAATACGATAACTAGAATGTGACATACTATTTTCGGATACAACAAGACCGTGTTGTATCATTTTGTAACCAGAGTCTCCTGGAGGGAGAGCGGGCATTGTGTGTATAGATCTATACGGGACATAAACTCCCACACCCCGACTGCTAGCTACAGTCCCAGCCGATAAGGCCAAGGGGTGACAAAATGTCACCTCACTACATATGACACCGGAGGGTCATCAATTATTCAGTCGTCGATCCGGTGTCATCAATTATTCAGTCGTCGATCAGCATGGTTACATACGAGTTCACATTCAAATCTTTAATTAACCGACTAGGGATTAAAGGCAAGCAGACTCCCCGAGGTGTATTGTGCATTTAATACTACCTGGAGTCTGTATTTTATTACTTTATAGCCAGCAGTGTTACTGCTGAGGTAAAACATTATTTTCCTTACTACATTTACTTGTGATGTTCTCACATATTATGAATGTTTAAACTATGTTTCGTTAACAATAGACTTACTTGGGAAAATACACACTTTTACGCGGAACAAACATACAGAACGTTGGTGTCTTGGTAGAAGGCCACTTTTAGTAGAAAATATAGGATTTTCTAGGAGATACTATTACTCACTACAAACATTTGCGTTGAGAACTTGCAAATATTCTCTTCAAACTTATAAGCGTTTTTCATACAAAAAATGACACTAAATACTTATGAACTTACTAGCATTTTATGCTGATACTCTCTTTCAAAATAACTTGTATTCTCAGGGAACCAGTAAGACAGGTACACCCATGCAGCTTTTGAAGGACGGAGTGGATCCAAGACTCGTCTTATTTTGATTGTATATTTTTGGTGTCATTTGAACTTACAATAGAGCACACATGTAATTAACTATTATATTAATGCAATGGATGTTGTTGCTTGTTTACTATTATGCATTGTTATGATACTGTACATGACGTCCTCCGCCCCAGAACGTTTCCGTCGTTCCGGTTTTGGGGTGTAGAGCAAGGTTTCCCCTTACCCTTCAACGGAGACCGAAGCTTTTACAACATAAGCGAGGGAGGATCAGCTGACCGAGTCCTGCCCATAATGGTCCGCAGGATTGCTCGGAATGTAGAGCAAGGTCGAGCAGCCATCGACCGAGTCATGGAAGTTGATGCCAACTCTGGAATTAAAACGGTCCGCATACGCCAACTCGAGGAGACTATGGAGAGAACTAGGAGAACCAACGAGGCCTTGCAGCAACAGCTAGCTGCATCCCGAGCCGAAGTAATGGAACTCCGAGTGCGTCAGAGGGCGCAGGAGCGACATCTTCAGGAAGTTGTTCGTCAACTGGCAGATCTGAGGGTTCGCCCGAGGGATACCCGTCGTCGGTAGAACATGCCTAGCCCATCTTTCTTTTGGTTTAAGGAATAGCCTTTCTTTTCTATGCCGATGTAGCGCTGGTCTGTAAAATATTTCTGTCTTTCAAGTACTTCAACTAGATTCCTAAGTTGTCAACATTTTCCCTTATGGTTTGATGTAAGACCTACTGTTAGGTCATTTTTCCCGAACTCACTTACATCATTAATACCAGTAATGTTGGCAGTTATCTAATCCATTGGGAAGTCCTTACTCTTGTGTTTCTCTACTCTATTGTTATGCCTCTATCTAGTGGTTGGACTATGGTGATTTAGTCCATGAAACACTCTCATCATGCTTACAATTGATTCTTACTATTATCATCATCTCTATGAATTTCCAGTAAAAGATGTCGCCCCGCAAGCGTCCGACCAGAGGCAGACCTGTAAATCAAACACCACCACCACCCCCTCCGCAGTTCGATGCGGTGATGTTTCAAGCAGCTGTGACCGCAGCTGTGACCGCAACCATGGCTCAAGTAAATTCTGGTGGTGTTAGTGGAGCGGGGACGGGCACCAACTCTAGCCATGGTGAAATCCAACCACGTACGCGGGAGTGTACCTATAAAGACTTCATCAGCTGCAAACCAACGTACTTCAACGGAACCGGAGGGATTATTGCGTTGTCCCAATGGATCGAGAGGACAGAAGCAATCTTTGAGATGTGCTCCTGCCCAGAAGGAAGCAAGATTAAGTTCGATGCTTGCACCTTCCCAGAAAGGGCCCTGACATGGTGGAATGGCCATGTCAAATCACTCTCACTGGTAGCAGCTAACGCCATGGGCTGGGAGACACTGAAGGATCTAATGACAAAGGAGTACTGCCCGAGGGGTGATGTGCACGGAAATACCCACTAATTTTAATATTTATAACCTAACAAACTTAGACTAACTATGCACTTGTAGGCAGTGTACCTAGTCATATTACAGTATAGCTTAGGTAAGTCGGGTGTCGATCACAGGGAACGGTGTTATTAATTAATCTATTTAGTACTAAATTAATCTAATTATTAACAAGCTAAAAAGGGTTTTTATCTGATTTTGCAAGATCAGACTAACTTAACTCAAATTCAATCAATAATTAAAAGACACTCTTATCTAGTTCGAATCCACTTCGTCCTTATGGCTAGCTAATAATTATGGATTATTAAGTTGGTTGTTATTATATTAGTAATTTAGGTCTAAATTTACCAATAGTTAATTAATTCATGTAAAGCTATGTATGGTCACACACAATTAAACACAAAATCAATTATGTTATGAATATGCTATGTAAGATTTATCATGTAAACACAATTATGATCATAATCTATGTTCTCTAGCACAAAAAAAGTTAATTACTTCAATTACTAACTAAGATTTTGGTCGATCCTAGCTCTAGCAATTCAATGTTCACTAAATTACTAGGTTATCAAGTTCATGCAGTTAATGGTCACTAAGCTACACATAACATGAATTTAAGAAACTTAAAGCAACAACATAAGCATGCTAGGTAACAATAAATCAAACACGAGCAATTCACCAACTAAATAAATCCATATAAAATTATGCTATTCATAAGTTTGAAGCTTCATCTAGCTAGATAAGAGTAGCTAGATTCAGCTGCTCATAGTAGCAACTAACATATAAACACAACTCAAATAAGAAAACATGTCTATAAGTATCAAACAAGTAAACAAATTATGAACTTTTACTCTTTTGGTGTTGAAAACCCTTTTCTAGGACCTTTCTTCTGCTGTAAATCGCCTCCTGGAACCTCTTCCTTCAGCCAAAAGTCTCCCAAATCGTAATGGGCAAAGGTATTTATAATATC